AACATTTTAATAATAATTATCTGCAATTTAGTTAGGCTTACCAAAAGTCTTTGCTGAGCGGTTCAAACACGTTCCTCTTACTTCGATGGAAAGAGGAGAAGGAGTGCTGCTGTTTGGAGTTCCCCAGAAATCTTCGCTCGATGCATAGTAGTTATATGTAGTCTTCGTTTTGTCAATTGACTAGGTATTATCAGCGTTCACCGCCTCTGACAGTTTTTATATTTTTTAAATCCGTTGGTTTATTGTTACTCAATTCTCAAGGCCTATGCAAATAAGTAGTGTGATTTGGCTTACGTTTTTACTAAATTAAAACAACGTCTGTCAACTGCTCTTATATTAATTTATCATAAATAGATTTCAGTATTTTTCAAATAACCAACAAAATCTTAAAATATACACAAACAATAAAATATAATATAATATAATAAATATAGAATGAACTCCACTAAGCAAGGTTGACGAGGAAATGAAAAAAAAACCATATTCTAAAATAGAACAAACTAGATAAAAATATATTTAATAATTATTAAGCAATTTGGATAAATGCAAATCCATGGAGATCAATATTACACATATCATTCTTTCCATGATATCGCAGTGTTTTTGATTTTAGATTCTGAGTGGAACGATGAATTTATTGATTTTACAATGATGTGTGTTTTTTTTAATTTTTTTTGTGTCTGTCATCACCTTTGAGGACAGTAAAAGTGCTGGGATTTTCTTCAACAGTATCTTTTCTGAATGGAAAGTGAATCTAGTTGGTACTTTGGGGGGGTAAAAAGTAAAAATTTCTCAGTAGTTTTCAAAAGCACAGTGAAAAACAAAAAAAAAATTAAGGGAAAACGGGAATTTTTACACAAAATCTGTTTTCGAGAAAATCGATTTTGGTTTTTGGTGTAACTTTAAAACAAATGACTGTAGATAAGTGAAATTTTCACTGGTTGTTTATATTTGCATTTTCTATACACCACAACATTTTCAAAATATTTTGATTTATTTTGAACTGTTTAGGGACATTTTCAGTTTCCAATTTTATTAGTGTTTTTTTTTTTTATGTATATGAATAAAAATTTATTAGTTGGTTAAAAAAGCTTGAAAATTTAATAGAAGGCTTCTAGTATATTGTTTCAAAGGTAGATGAAAAATATTAAAAATCCTAAGTCACAGTTTATTTTTATTAGCATTTAAAGTCCAGAAATTGACAAAATATGGAAAAATCACGAAAATAGCAAATTATTTTGAGTTAAGAATTCGTAAAAAATTTTCTTTTTAAATATAAAATTTTAAAATGTAATACAAGATTCCTTATAAGATTATCTACCTTTATCGAGAAATAAATGTCTATAAGAAAGTCAAATTAAATTTTTATGAGCGTTTGAAATTCAAATTTTTACAATATTGGATATTCACTCGATTTCTCATGTAGCGATTTCCTTATTTTGTTGTAATTCAAATACGAATAACTGTAAATAAGTTACAAAATTAAGATAAATTTATTTTAATAAAAAAAAAATGTGACTGTATTTTTAATATTTTTCATCTGTCATTGTAACATAATAGTAAGTATTATGCCAAATTATATAGGTAGTAATATAATATGGCTATTTAAAAACCCCCCAAAAATAGTTTTTAGTGTTTTTTAAACTTCGTACAACAATAATCGTGGCTGCATATTGTGTGATTATATTTCATCAAATATTATACTTTATTAGGGTTTGAATAATTAAAATCTAGGAGAAAATTTTCCAGGAGAGCAAAATCTAAGTTATATTAAATATGCAGGATCATTTATTCAAATGTTAACGTAGTTTATGATACCATTAAAATCTATATAAGTTCTGTACTGCAAAATTAATGAGCTTTTGTATATTATTGTGTAAAACTAATTTTAAGTCCTTATACTATACCAACTTAAAAAACACCTGACCTAAATGTTATACCGTATAAAAATAATCGTTTCTGAAAAAATTTTGAGTTTTTCCGATTTAGGTATCGATCAATTATACAGCATTTTAACATTTTATTCATCAGTAATGATTTATTTTAATATCCTTTTCCAATAGCCAAATGTCAAAGGTACCTAATATTTGTATTGTATTCAAATATTTAGCATATTATTATGTTTGGACTTAAGTATAATACATATTATACAATCCATTAAAACGTGGGTGAGCAACCCGAGGGCCACATATGTGGGCATGTGGCCCTAGTGGTAATTGTATGTGGCCCGTGACTAAAATATTGTTAACAAACAAATACTGATGATGTTAACAAAACAAAATTGATCCCCCCCCATTAGAATTAAGGTCTGCGCACACATATTTTTTTTAAATTAAATTAATATATATATCAGTTATTTCATAAATAGGTATTAAATAGAAATCATGCATAACAATATATAGTTGTAATTAAAAACGAAAATGTTTAAGACTATACAATTTACAATTTATTAGTCATCGTGAATATTATACTATTATATTATTAAGTATAAGGCATACAGGAGAAAAAAATACATAACTAAAAATAAAAGAGAGATGTGTGAAATGAAAAGATTTTATAGACAAAAAATATAATTAAACTTAAGACGACTGTCGACAACGTGACGTCTGCTTATACAAGATACAAAATTAGCTAAAATCAACAAAATTAACAATAGGTACAAAAAATCTGCTCAGTGTACCGGTGTTGAAGTATTATAAGATAGAACCATTTGACAAACTTCATTATTTACAAATACAAACATTAAAAACAGAATAGTTTTAAACAAAAATTTAAAATATACACTATAACATTATATTGTAAACTATTTATATGTTATACAATACAATTTAAAACGATATTTGCATTAGTTTTTTGAATATTGCTATGTGTATATTTATATAAATTTGTTTTTTCCATCAACATAAACTATTTTAATAAATCGACTTAATTGCAAATATTGCTTTCCCGAAATTACTTTTTAGGAGGTATTAGTAATATAGTATATAATATTTTTTAATTAATATACTCTTATAATCGCATTTTAATTTTAAAGAGATTTAATACAAATACAAATTTAAAAAAAAATAGGAATCGGGTTTAAATTGCCTTACAGGCAATGATTTGAGTACAAATAATGTTATATACATAGTATAATGAATATAAGGAACATACAAAAAATTATTTCGACTACCCAACTAGAAAATTAAACGCTATGTACATTATATTGTTATAGTAGTTGTAATTACAACGATTATTATAATATTTAAGTTTGAGACTTTAACCTATATCGAAACGATTTCACACGTGTATTTGTATGTTACATCATATTATAAAAATATTATATTACAATATATTATATTGGGAAGCCTTAAGTAGGTATATAGTTGTAATAATACAACTTGACTTTTCTCACAACCTTCGAACACAAAATATAATATATTTTATCTCGAAGTATGGTCAGCTATAATATAGCGTGGTGCGTTTCGCAAGGGAGTCGTCCCCGTCGACAATGCTGCTGGTCGGTGGGCGGGCGGGTGGACCAGCGAGATGAAAGAATTCGTGACGTTTACCACATGTTAACTACCTACTACAATCGTATTGTACCTACTGATGTTAAATATAATTTATAATACCTATACAAACACACATAAACGTGGTGCATACTTGACCGGAAGACAAGTATCAAAACGATATAACGGTTGTTTATTTGTTTGTTGCTCTTCCCTCGATCACCCGCCGCCGCAGCCGCACACGGGACGATCCTGGCGACCATAATATTATTTCTGAAAATCGACTACCGACAACAATAATCGTACCCGCAACAGTATAATAATAACATCATACCTAATACATAGGTGTGCACGTCGTGTCATATGTATTATTATATTAAATTGTATAGGTATTATAGCCGTGTTAACGCACATCCCTCACGAGCAACCACATAATAATATACAGAGCAAATAATATCGGCCGTACTGCAATTCGGAATGTGGCATTGTGGCACTTTTGAGTTATCTTCGTCACAATAATAATAATATAATACTATATTGTCACCGCGATCCACTGCATTATTGTACAACAATATATGATCTTACAATATCATTTACCTATATATATTATAGTTGTGATAAAACGAAAACGTTCCTCTGTACGAATGACCGCGGCCTCCACGGCGCCACGCAACGTTCGTATAGGTACGAATCATATTCGTATAGTGTTATAGCCAGTATAGGCAGGTAGGCTTTATTTTTTGGCCTACTATATCCGTATAGCTTTGTTATTGTACAATAACAATATCAATACACCAGTACGCGAATCAGAAATATTATTTACGACGTGGAACACAAGTTTTCAACGGACCCAGATGTTGTAGACAGTATTACAAAAATATATGAGAAATGTACGGCAACGTGTAGCAGTGGAGATAAACGGCTTATAATATATAGTTAGCAGTAATTTTGTTCGCGAATAATTTTGTTTTTATTCATCTTCTACGTCGCATTTCATATTTCATGTCAGATTTTCAGAAAGATCTGTCGTGTATAGAAGACCTGACGGTTTTTCGATATTCTGTATATTATTGCTTTATGTAAATGAAATTATTATATTTATACTGCTACGAATCGTCACTAAATTATTAGTATATGGCTGCACTTGCGCTATATAGTTCCCAGAACAACTCTGCGCGTTGAAGGACGACTTCCGTCTACAGACGCGCTTCCGGCCTTCCGCCTGATTTCAGCCGAAGATGATATAATCGACAGACTGAGAAGGTAATCGGTACCTATGTGTAGTATGCATTTATAAGAACGACGCCCTTCACCGTATAACGAACCAAACTACACAGGCCGAAATTCAAGACAGAAAAATCATTTTTTTTTTTTAATGTGGACGACACTGATATATGTGCAGTGCAACGTAAATTATGCAGGTAAACGTGGCGGGTTGTGGGTTGCGTGTGGCGAAGTTGTCGTCCGGATAGAAGAGAACGCCGAAAAGTCGTGGATCTTCCGGGGTGATCAGTACCACGTGTAGTACGGCGGATGCGTCTGTCGGGGCTGGTAGTAAGCAGCCGAAGTGGGGCTCATCTGGCCTCCCATGCAAGCGGTCGGTATGAGGGCAGGCTGAGGGCTTATCCGGGTCGGGTTCATGGGTGGCATCTGATGGTGTCCGCCGACGCCGCCACCGCCGCCGATGCCGAGGCCGTGGTGATTGGCCAGCGCCGACCAGCTGGACGGGCTCTGCATGGACACCAGTTCGGACGACGACACAGTGATCAGGCTGTCGCCACCGTTCGCTCCTGTCAAAAACGCACACAAATCCAACTTTAAGTACAGGTAATAGGTATATAGGATATTAAACATTTAGATTAGGAAGATTATTGGTGCAGCATATACCCTATAGAGTATAGGCTATAATATTATATAGGCATATACAGCTATAATTCCGTTGGGTATGGTATAGGTAAATTATATTAGACTAAAGCACGATTAAAGATATATTACCTATATCTTTAATCGTGGACTAAAGACATAATGTAATTATTACGCTAACCAGCTGATTAATAATTTAATGATGAACAAAATATCAAATAAATCTTTGATTTTTTATAGAAAACCAGATTTTCTAACTACAGTATATACTATAATAATATTATAGCTATACGTAGGTATTCCGAAAAATTCTTGCCATATATAATATATGATACAAAGTAAAATTTCTTATATGAGAACATTCGTGAAAATCTAAAACCATTCTTCACAGAAGTTACCTATATGTTTTGAGATTTTTAAGTGAATTCTAAATCGGAATTTGAAAACTTAAAAGTAGGTACCCACACAGAATCAAAATATATATTAGATTTTCAAATTGTATGAAAATACATTACAACTTACAAGTACCTACACTGTACATGGTACTTCATAAAAATGTCTATGCTTTTCTGTATGTGTTATTTATAACCTACTCGATAAAGTTGTAGCATGAAAAAAACACACATAAATATAAAATAAAGTAAAATCCACAAAAGCAAACATATTATTTATGAATTATGATCATTAAATAATACTCCACGGCCTTGTCTGAGTGGAGATATGTACTTGCGTACATGACTCATGGAATAAAATCGTGCTGTGACGTCTACTACTGGTACAGTCCGGTACGCCCGGCGCCCCGCCCTCATATATGCATAAATAATTATTCAGTTAAAAATTATTATACTTGGAGCAAGCGTTCAAAAGTTTCATAATATATAGACCAAAAATAGCAAATAACCTTTATTAGGTTTTATAAGTACGCAAGTTTAATAGTAACACAATAATACCTATAGTATATTTCGTTTAACGGTTAAAATGTTTGACTTATGAAGTATATTATAATACAAATAAAATATACAATGGTGCATCGAAAGAAGAAATATGCTGCATATGCTGCATATGCTGCAGTAAAATTTGCATCTGACTTGTTAAAAAGGGTCAAAGCTCATATTATATACTATATGAAAACTCTATTTTAATAAAACGGTCTGTGACGAAGGTAAATTTACCTCAGAGTACACCAGCCTTAGCTCCCATGTCATACATAACATAATACACGCACACATGAAACGAACGTCGAACGTCGGATATACGCTGTAGCCGAAAGGTCACGGCCAGGAATTAGTTAGTGGAGATGGATATTTTGACTTACCGTTGGATTGTCCCATGAGTGTGATGTTGGCCGACACTGGAGACAGCTGATGGTGCGTGATCATCGTGGGAGCTGAGTTGGCGGCCGCAGAACCGATCTGATAGGACTGCGACGCGGCCGACAATAAGTTCGGCGACGAGGCCTGGTGATGGCCGCCGCCCGGGCCGATGTGCAACTGTGAGAGCTGGCCGCTTCCGTTCAACTGTCCCATCTGCTAGACGACAAAAAAAAATATAATGAATACGTTGTATTACAATTATTGACCGAATACGATGTATACAGGGGGTGTACCAGGAAGACCCAACAAAAAAATTATTATGATACTTAACGTATGACAAAAATTTTGAAAATGATATGATTAATAAGAAATTTTCAAAAAAAAATATTTTTAAAAAAGTTATTACCATCTAAATTAATTTACTCAAAAACATATATTGATATCTTAAACAATAAACTATACTTGACTAGGAGATAAATGTTTTTACCATTAATATTGTTCTTATATAATCAGATTTACTGCAAATTGACTACCTATATTGAATTTTTCCATAATACTTAAAATACAATTTTAGATTTTTATTATACATTATATTCATATATTATGATAATACAAAAAAGAAAAAAAAAGGACGGCGAGACCGGATCTTTACACAACGATAATGCATACCTAAAGTAATATACTTATAAGTTATAATATTATGTATACCGCGGGCGGCGGGCGTCCGTCACCGCAGTACGATAGTTTATTATATATGTATAGTGTATACGGTTATAAATAACTCAGCTACCCCGCCGGTAAACGGTGTCACCGCGCGCGACCGAGACCCTTTTTACGACGTCCTCACAGCCTGCCCGGTCGGGCGTCATGAAAATATATTATTATATACACATATTATATTATGTATATAATATGAGTACATAACATTATAAGCATGACGGCGGCGGCAATACGTTTTCCAGAAAGAAACCGTACCACGTGCGAGTCCCGTTGTATAGAATAATATAAAGTCCTATCGATCATCGCGATAAAATTGTCACATTTTATTATTATTATTGGAGGTGCCATAAGCTATATAGATCTACAAAAGCGAAACAGCGGTGACGTCGGTCATGTATTATAATATAATATGTATAGCAACAAATTACGCAGAGTCACAGAGATATACCTATCATATTATAATAATATGTATACACCTATGGCCTATAAAGTGTATAATATATTATATTATGGGAATGGTTCAATCGTCGAAGGGTTTCGAAACCGAAATATATCTCGATGATTATGATGTGAATACAATTTCTAAGATAAGTAATTTATATAAAAACGTTTATAATATTTTATAAATTATAGTCTCTAACGGCACCTACAACTTTAGTACGATGTACTGCGACGGGGTTCAATTCATATTTATACTATTCGTATAATATGTAAATACGTATATTTTTTACCTTCCTTTTTTAGGATTCTAAATGATCACGATGATAGTGAGGAGGCGATGATGTGGATATGTAAGGGGTGGTGGGAATTATATTATTATATTATGACGTTCTGACGAAAACTTACTTGAGAAGTGAGCAGAGACGACGTGGACGTGTAGAGCGGCGTGGTCGGGTAAGTACCGCCAGCGATTCCTATGTACGACGTGGCCGTAGCCGCTTCGGTGCTGATGTTGCTATGAGGCCTGTTGTCGTGGTCGATTAAAGACGTGGCACCCAGACCGCTGTACATCATGCTGTTTTGCTGATGTTCGTCCTTGATCATCTGCTGTTGCTGTTGCTGTTGTTGTTGTTGTTGTTGTTGTTGTTGCTGTTGCTGTTGCTGTTGCTGCTGATGATGATGATCGTCCGTTTCTATGTACACATTTAAAATAATAATTTATTAGATATCACTACAACTGCTACAACTGATGTGGACTGGCCGTACACAAACAAGTATATTATAATCGTATGTGATACAAGTTCAAATTGACCAACTATAGGTACTAATAGTAATATTATAGTAGGCCCTTGTAAAATTAATTAGTTTTTTAACTCGTTAAATACGTTTTTAATGATTTCGGACAATTTCTCAGCACTTAGGTTAAAACAGACATCACATTTGATTTGTGAAATAAACTAAAATATATTTTAAAATAGTGTATATAGTATAGTTTACACGATCCCTCGTGGCTCGTACCTTTGTATCCGTCCGGCGTCTTATTGTACGGTTCGTGTAACTGTTGCGGCGACATTATATAAGCGGGCGTAGATGATGAGTTCGGGCCCGACGACTGTTGCTGTTGGTTCTGTTGCTGCTGAGCGGACGGTGAGTACCCGAGGGCCAATCCCATACCGTAGCCACCGGAACCTGGAGTGGAACTTCCGGTGTTGCTAGACATTTGCTTTCTAAGTCTCGCGCGCCGATTGCTGAACCACACCTGCAGAAAAACACACAGTCAATGATATAGGTTTACATACACAGGTATAATAATAAATCATATAAGTCTTTAGCAAGGACCAACAGTCGTTGAAAAAATTAATAGAAATTTAAAATTGTAATTTCCTATGTGCATAACAACTTTGGCTAGTATATCAGGTACCCCACTACAGATGAATCCGAAGCCGATCGCGTATCGACCATACCAATGATAATTAGGGATTGGAAGTTTATAGTAACATATCATTAAACACAAACAATTATAAAATAATAATCTATAAATATGCTTACCTATTATAATGCAAAAATGGAAATGAAAAACACCCAATAAATTTATAAATTATATGAAAATGAAATAATATAAATTATTATCAAAATACGATGAATATGCACAGACACTTTTGAAAAATTAAGATTATTTCATTAACTAGTTCCAGAAAATTAACAATTTAAATGTTTATGAAATAGCGTTTTTAAATTTCCCCCCCCATTGAATAAATGGATGGATGGATACATGGTCTGATACAAATTGGGAGCCATCTGTGAGAGACAAATTATATGTACCTGTTAATGTACTAACCTTCGACTACTCTACTATGACCTACCTACAGATTGTTAAAATTATAAAATAGTGTCAAAGTAACGATTGAACAGTTGTGTAGTTTGTACCATATCATTTCAAGAATGGAAGTTGCCAATAACTAATTATAAACATTATATAAAATTCGTTTTTTTTCAATACTTTAAATTAAATATATACATACTACTTATGAAACCATTTTTATCTTAATATTAGTTTTAAATTTTGAAGTTATCTTTAATTTAAACTTGAAATTTAACTTCATATTTATGTTTATTTTGCATTTGCCAACTATACTTTGCCGAGATTTAAAAAATCCCATTTTCTACTTTACTCGTTAGTACGAGTTATAATTCGTATAGATTATCACCTGTATTCTGGCTTCGGTCAGGTTTGGTTCGCTGGGCTAACTCTTCTCTGGGTGAAATGTCTGGGTACTGGGTGCGCTCGAACGCCTTTTCTAGCTCGTCCAACTGCAACGCAGTAAACGTGTCCTGCTGCGGCGCTGTTTGCGTTTTAAACGGTATACAGGTTCCGAATCGCAGTCCGAACCGTCTGAAGTTTTGCCTGTACAACAAAATAAAATGTAAAGCACAAAAAGACATTTTGCCAGTTTCAAAAATAAAAAACAAAACCTTTCTATCTGTGCGCAAGCGTAATCTTATATTTCCAACTCCGAAGACAGCGAATTTTATGTCACACAACATTTTTATCACAAAATAATATATAAGCTTCAATACTAATATAGAAAATCGAGTTGCCAAATTTAAGTTTTTAAGTTGTTTTTAACATTATTCCCATTATTTGAAACACTCAAAAAAATAGTGCAATTCACCACATTTGTTTAGTAATTTCAGCTATTTTCGATATTAATTTATGTAATAAACTATAACACCATGAAAATAAATTACCAAATTGTTGATTTTGAAATTATGAAAAATTATTCTAGTTATCGTACTTATTTATTATCGTATATTATTACACATACTATTTTTTGTCACGCCCCTGCGTTCATGGAAAAGGTTATGCAGGGATCTATGCAACAATTATAGACTATTCTACAAAAACAATTTCATGGAAGACATTTTATTTTTATTTTTATTTTTATTTTTCAGGCAATAGATTTAGTGAAACGGCGTTTGCCTTTTCAACCATGTGTGGTGGAGGTTAATGGGTCACTACAAACTGCTGTGTTGTCTGTCATCATTCGTATTTATTCTCATTATTTAATTTGAATTATTATGCAAATTGCGTGAAATAAACTTACTAACGCATCGTTCGACGCACTTATTTAGGAACAGTGCAAATTAAATATGTTGAAATGTTTATGCGTCATGCAAGGAGGTTATACTATACATTTAAGATGTAACCAAAAGTTTATGTTTTGTAAGAACCGTGGTAGGTATACATTTCAGTTTCTGGTTGTGCAGGGGATACGCGCCCGGCCGCAGGCACTTTTGGGGATTTCTTCTTTTCCGCCCGGCACTTTGGGGATTTCCACTTTACCGCCCGCTGGACGGAAAAAGGACGCTTTCGAATGCTTTCGAAAACCAAACTTTCGGTGCAGGCGAATTTATTATAAATTATATAAAATAGTAATATAATCTTCTATAATATACTTCCACAGTTCCATCAAAAATCAATTTGTGATATAAATGAATAGGCACGTATCTAACACTATAACTATTATAACACAATTACGGGCTTCGATGTAGCAATGTAGGTATAAAACAGTGATGGTTTCTTATATATAATATACATTCTATATTTCTATAATAGGTAATAAGAAAACTCAAAATATAATTAAAATTATGATTTATGGTTATTTTAACTTTGCACATGATAAAAATGTTGAGTTCGAGTTAGATTTAAAATGATTCTAGGTTCGATTCGGTTCGGTTCACGTTCGAAAATATGATTTAAAGTTCGGTTCGATTTAAAAAATTCGGGTTCTACCTATCACAAGCATAAATATTTTTGATCATGGTACCCGATGAAATGACCATACGATTAAAATATTAATTCACTTTATGTAATATTAATTAATAATTCTTATGTTATTTTTATTTTTAATTTAATCTGCATGATAAATAGGATAAAATCTCCAAATATTTAAAATTATCAGCTGTATCAGACTAAAACTTTTGAAAACATACCAGCAAATCAATCTAACGAGCAGAAAAAAACACGCAAAATGAACAAAGTTTGAGTCATAGTATTATCAATATTACAATAATGACAATGCGTCAAATAACACCGGTCGTTTTAATGACAGGGAAGTAAAAAAAACGTTTATAAAACACGAATGTAAAATTAATTTTGTGGAATTGACGTATTAATGTACAAACAATATTATATATTTATATATATCATTGAAAATGAGCAAGGGTTTTTGAGCAACTGTACATATATTATTATTATTATAAGAAGGTATACCATCCGACTAAACGTATGCCGAGACGAACACACACACCACAACAGTTTAGGATTCGAACGTGTCGGATGACTGAAGTACGTAATTTCGGCAGACCGCAACGATTGGGTTACACAAAGAGACCGACCGGCGGCGGTGGCAACGAACATATTTTGCCAGCGATTGCTTGTTTTTGTTTTATTGTGTTTTCGTGATGCATTATTAGTGATTACGTGTGTGTAGATATGATGGGAAAGAGAAAAAGGCGGCGGACTGTTCCAGGTCTCGTATAGTCGCACACGTCACGGGCGGCGGAGGGAAACGAAAAATCATTTTTCATAATAATTTAGCAAAAAAACTTCGTTGTGGGTTTTTGGCGGCGTCGCGGCGGCATGCGGTCACACAGAGTCGAAGGCGCTTAGGAACCGTCGGCGGCGGTCCAAAACCCAAAACCGGGTAATGGTTTTTAAAATAACAATAACGCTGTACGGCGCTGCACGTCGTCGCGGCGGGTATAATATTATCATTATTATTGTTGTAATATTATATTGTGTATGGATGGATGTACTAATGACGTTTGCGGTGCGAGAATCATCGGTTTTTCGCGATGCGAATACAAGTCGAAGACGATGATTGTATACAAATCTATATAATATATAATGATATTTTGTATGAACACACAATTTGTAAACGACGTTAAAAACGACCGTCAGGTGTTCGAGACCGATGCAAAGTGCGTGCCGCCGCGGCGAGTTCGGCTTAGATATGCCGCCCCGCAGGTCATGTTCAAAGATAAATTTATACCTATCGAACAATATTATTATATTTTGTTGTGGTTTGTACACAGCGTATTACATGTACAACGTGCATCACATTTTCTGGTCGATATTATCATCATAATATTATTATCTGGTTTTATTTTATCTTCGACCACTGCAGGACGAGCTATGAGATTTCAGTTGTAGGGATCTAATAATTATTTACGAATAAAAGATTTTATGGAAACAATGTCATCATTCTTCAAATTATATTATATAACACAGATATACTTGGGAGTTGGGATTGATCGATTTCATGTTTTTGAATAATTTCAAACGCGTGTATCTTATATTAAAAACAATATTGTTTTAACATATTGACTTGTAAAATTCCGTAGAACAGTTTTTATCAATCTTTAAAATCTTTGGTAATGTAGGTACTTATATCATGTAATGATAAGAACAATTTCATAGTTATTTATCAAGGGTTTTGAGTTTTCTACTGTTGGTAGGTACTATATAGGTACCTCTACCATACCGCTACTATAGCTCTACAATATAATTCGTTGATTGGAAAGAATACAAATATGTTTTTAATGGTTTTAAACTAAACCATATCTTATATCAATCATGTTTTCGACTTGTGTGGCTTATCTTTTCAATACCATTCAAAAGCTATTGTTGCGTGGTTATATGGTGACGTGGTCACTAAAAATTTTTACTACTACAATTTAAATATCCCTAGCTCACATATTGGAATTATAATAAATGTTTAACGGCGGAACACTGCAGTAATAGAATATGCCGTTTCCATTCCATCAAAGTCATACACTCATATTCATATATGTGTGTGTATATATATAATATAGTTTATACACACGCGTCTGAACGAATGCCAAACACAATAAAAACTGTTTTATTATCGCTTCATTAGAGGAGAACTAAGAAAGAAAAAAATCGGTTTCGCAAATGTGTTGTCACGGCCACAATATTAACGATTTTAAAAAGTATCAAGTAAAAAAAGTAACTGTGCTAAGAATAATTATTAATGGACTATCGAACTTTCATTTTAATATCATGATTCCAAGATCCAATACTTGATATTTTCAATTCGACAAATTTATGTATATTTGATAATTGTTTGAATTTTAAAATAGGTAGATGATTTTATGATAAATCATTATCAATACTTTTAAATAACATACTTTCAT